TCAAGAGATTGCAGCATAGGGTAGTAGAAAGACAATATAAGCTTCACAGCAGGATATATCTAAATTTGATTTGGGATCCCTAATTTACTAGCTGTGTTACGTTGGACAGGTTGCTGAACTTTTCTGAAGCTGTCGCTACCTGAGAGTACAAAGAATTAGATGCAGTGGTATATATAAAGCATGTGACATATAATAGGTGCTAAGTTTATATGGGTTTCCATTAATTCTAACCTACCACAAAAGAGCTGTGCCACTCTAGCAAGTTCCTTTAGCCCTCTGGGTCTCGTTCCCTTCATTGCAAATTGAGAAGATGAAAGAAACCAAATGAACTCCTATGTCCCTTTTAGCTCTTCAAAAAATAATGAGTTCCCAAAGGTTCCTTTACCTTAATTTAAATTCAGCAGTTAAGTACCTTATATCCATCCTAAGCACTGAACCGTACCAACTATCAACAGGAAGATATCTATGATTTCAGCAAAATGGGATCCAACTCCATATCACTTTAAGTTCCACAAAGAAAAATAACTATGCAAAACCAAAGGATTTCACAAACCTAATGTAAGGACATCACAAACCTAATGTAAAAAATATAAACAATTGAGTGTATACATTAAATTACTACTCTCTCTTTTGCAGAGTTGAAAGATAAGAATTAAAATGTTTATACTATATAACAAAACATCTAAGAGACACTTGGTTAGAGCAAGTAATGCCATTAAAAAAAATGAGTAATACATTTCTCTTCTTATGTGAGTCTTTTTAAAAATTATTTATTTATTTCTTTATTATTTTGCGGGGGAGGAGCAGTGGGATAGTCAGGCAGACTCCCTGCTGAACGCAGAGCCCAACACAAGGTTCAATCCCAGAACCCTGAGATTATGACCTGAGTGAAAGCAACAGTGGGGGAGGCCCAATGGACTGAGCCACCCAGGCGTCCCCCAATTTGAGTCTTAAACAAGTCTTTGAATTTAAAATACTTGTGTCATTTGGGAACTAAGGGGAATAAAATTTACCCTGAGAAGTATTTTACAGAGATAAACATTCATATAAGAAGACGGTTAACCACGTTCTCACCTGACTTCTGAATCTCATGTTTGGGATTTATGTTCTGTATAATAAAATATAATTTTTTTAAAGATTTTATTTATTTGACAGAGAGAGATCACAAGTAGAGAGAGAGAGAGGAGGAGGAAGCAGGCTCACTGCCTTGCAGACAGCCCGATGTGGGACTCGATCCCAGGACCCTGAGATCATAACCTGAGCTGAAGGCAGAGGCCCAACCCACTGAGCCACCCAGGCAGCCCCAAATAAAATATAATTTAAATGCTTGAATCTTATAAGTGAGACCTGAGAAAATACTAACTGATCTTAAGTGAAAATTTTAACTACAAAGTTTTTCCTTTTCTCCTCCATAAGAAAATTATTATCAATGGGTTTTTCATTACAGATAAGGCTTTTTGCAAATAACATTGTGGAGTTTCAAAATACATTTAAAATCACATGTAGAGGGGCGCCTGGGTGGGTCAGTGGGTTAAAGTCTCTGCCTTCGGCTCAGGTCGTGATCCCAGAGTCCTGGGATCAAGCCCCACGCTGGGCTCTCTGCTCAGCGGGGGGCCTGCTTCCTCCTCTCTCTCTGCCTGCCTCTCTGCCTACTTGTGATCTCTGTCTGTCAAATAAATAAAATTCTTCAAAAAAAAAAAACCTTTGTAGAACTCTTAATCATGGTTTTCCAAAAATTCATTTGAGGTTTGCCCTGTACTATGCTTGTACAGTATTATTGACTTATATTATAGAATTTTAGAGTGTACATCTTAGATCATAAAACACCACCACCAAAAAAAAAAAAAAAAACTTTGCCTTATAGGAGTATGAAGAGACAGGAAAGACTCATTTAGATATTATCTCCAGTGTATGAAATAAACTATATAGTTTTGTTTTGTATAAAGATTTTGTTTATTTATTTGACAGAGAGAGATCACAAGTAGGCAGAGAGGCAGGCAGAGAGAGAGGAGGAAGCAGGTTCCCTGCTGAGCAGAGAGCCCGATGTGGGGCTCCATCCCAGGACCCTGGGATCATGACCTGAGCTGAAGGCAGAGGCTTTAACCCACTGAGCCACCCAGGCGCCCCTATATAGTTTTTTTTTTTTAATTCAACAGCTGTGTTCTATGAGCTGATATTTTTGTCCTGAATAGAGATGAAGAGTAAACTCTTTGCATTGTATGCAAGGTTCTGAGAGCCACAGAAATATGATTTAGGTCTATATGTATCAAGCATAGTGTGAACCAGAGATAGAAGGCCTGGATCCTGTTTTTGTCATTACTACAAAATTGATTTGTGATTTGGACAAGTCACTTCACTTTTTTGGTTTTGTCTGTTTACCTATGAAACAACAGGAGAACCATCTGATCTCTTTAAGATTTCTTGTAGTTCCTATAATTTACATCTGTGCAAATCCTCAGTGCAGCATTTGGGGGGCATGAGACATGGGGCAAAGGCATTCACAGGAGTGCACTTATTCTGCTCTCTATACATACCGCCGGGACGAACCAGCTTTGCAGAGAGCCAAATACTAAATAGCCTGGCGTCGTACCGTGGCTAAAGAACACCATTGATGACTATGAAAGCACTTAAAGAAATTCAGCCAGAGGAAACAGACTACTTTCTGAATGTAGTCCAAAAAATAGGTAGGGGGCGTGTAAGCCCTCGCAACCTCAGACCCTTTATGTCCTTGGCCTTTCATCTTGGCCGGCAGAAGACACTGAGTTTTCTTAGGTGACTCATGCTTTCTTAGCCTTAAGAGAAATTATTCTGAAAATGAGTGGTTCTCCTCCCTGGTCCCACATCTGACCCTTAAAAATACGTGTATTTTTATGCATCAGCTGTACGATATGCAGCATTCTTAGAACACCATAAAACAGAGTTCAGCAGAGTGGTTAAAAGTATGAAATGGGCCCAAATCCTGGCTCTACTACTTACCTGCTATGAAATCTCAGGAAAAAGGCTTAGCCTCTCCCCGCTTCAGGTTCCTTTTCTGTAAAATAGGGAAACTAATAAAACCTAACTCATGGAGCTGTGAAAATTAAGCAAGATAATGCATACAAAGCAGTTACCATAGAATCTGACAAGGTAACTCTAACAGATACATAGATAGATGATAGATAGATAGATGGATAGATAGATAGATACACAGACAGATAACAGATAGATTAATCCTGGGAACTGGGTCTCCCTAAAAGGACTTATCCGAAGGCCACAAACAATTTGTTGGCAGTGTATGGCATCTGCTGATCTTTCCTCTTCTGAGCAAACAATATGGCAAAGACTCAAAGCCTGGCTCAGCTCTTACTGATAGGATCCTGCAGAAATCAGGAGGAAATGAGATTATCCTGAAAGTAGGAAAGAGTTACTCTCATTTAAGACAAGGTCTTTAAAAGCAATAGAAACATATGCAGACATGCGCGCGCGCGCACACACACACACACACACTTAACATAGTCATATAGAATCAGAGAAAGGGGTTGTTTTCTGTATTTGCCTTTTCAAGTGTTGCTGGCATTAAAAGCTACCGAATTTTACTGCTAGATGGCTCCCTGGAGACCATCTAGTTCAACTCCCTCACTTGGTAGATAAGTAGCTGAGGCCCAGAGAAGTTAAGCAACTTACTGGGGGTCATCCATCTGTAAACGACAGTGCCAAGACAAGCTTTCTGATCTCCCCTTTTGCCCACCCAGTACTCAGCCTGGTATCTTTCACGAGCTCGGCACCCTGTCCTTGTTGTGCCAAATAGAGCAGGAAGGCACGTGCGCATGCCTACACACACACACACACACACACACACACACACACACACACGGTTCTCACTTTTGCTTAAGTCCCCCGAAAGTACAGCAGCAACCTCAACCACCAAGGTCTTGCCAGAGCCTCCCATCAGGAAAATTGAGGAGGATCTCACTTAATCCATGGCCCTCTCTCAGGCTGTCCTTGGAGTTTCTACTCTCCCCTTTCTGTTCCTTCCTCACATCCATTCTTCAGTGCTATTTCTTAGACGTTCCTCACCAAAAAGATCAGGCATTTCCCAGGACAGAAGCGACCCGCGCTAACTTGTAAACTCTTCATCTCCCCACGAATGCTAGACCTTTAGACAGGAAACACAGAGGAACTGTGATTAAATTCCGAACAAGCTCCCCAAGCGAATTCAGTCAGAACGAATCCTCCCCTCCCTGCGATAACTCAGCCAGGTTCATTGATAAAATGTGTGAACAGGCGAAGGGCTGGAGAGCCCTCAGGTGTGCCCGACACAGAGAGCAGGAGGAAGAGGGCAAGGAAAGGAGACGGGAGGGAGATGGTAGGAGGAGCCCACTAACCGCACTGTAAAGGGTGGGTCCTGGAAACAGCTATGCTGCGGAGACTGACTCACTGCTGAGGGGACAGGACTACAGAGGGGACGCGCTGTTTTAATCACACCCCCTCTGGTAACTGACTAACAGCAGGCTGGTGTGCCGAACTACACACATAGGAAGCAGGAAGAGACTACCCCTAAGTGGCAGAAGCGAGGAACTCTGTCTTCTTGCTCTCTTTTCTCTCTTTTCTCTCATCCCATGTTGGCCACTCTGCCTGGCGGCACACCCGGAGCTCTCCAGCTTCCCTCCAATCACCCCCAGGCGGGGGACTCCCCTCCCTGATCTCCTGAGGGTTGAAAAGAAGCCGAGGGCATCAGAGATTTCTCTCCACTCTGCCAAATGCTCCCCAATTCCCTGCCCCTTGCAGGGAAACTGATCCGAGAGAAGCTTTCCCTGAGCTGACAGAGGTTAGGGCGCTTCTCGTCCCTAAGCACAGGCGCCTGTGAAAGGTGTCCCCCAGCCTGGGTCTCTGCTGTGAGTGTGGGCGGCGGTAAGTGTCACAGCCAAGTGTTCCTTCCCCAAGGAGAAACCGGAAGGAGGGTTTTTTTTGTTTGTTTGTTTGTTTGTTTGTTTTTTTTTTGCCTTTTTTCCACTCCCTACCTGAATTCCGGGACCAGGTTAGGCTGCAACCCGTAGAAAGCAGCGGAGAGAGTGACCAGCCACCCGGGCTTGTAACTCCCGTTCTCGCACTCCAGATAAGGCGGAGACCACTTGACGTGGCTCTTGTCCCCGCCAAGTCCGTCCCTGCGCCGCCAGCTATGGCCCAGGCTCCGGGGGCCCTGATTAGAGCCTCGGCGGTGTAAGTGGGTCCTCCACTTGCGCCGCAGGCCGTGGAACCACTCCGTCTCCAGCGTGGCGTTGGCCAAGTGGTGTGCCGAGGAGGACAGATCTTGGAGCAGGATGCGACTCTCTTCGCGGGTGGCCTGGAGGAAAACCTGCGGGGCCGGCGAGGACAGCGACTCGGTGCTGAAGGTGATGGCTGCCCGGGAAATGCTGGGTTCGCCCTCCAGGAGACTCCGCACCAGTGCCTGGTACCACTCCAGGTCGTCCTGCAAGTTCTGCTCCCGCGACTTATTGCTCTGCAGCATCATGTTGAGGAAGTTAGTGGCGTGTGTCAGCGTGTCCAGCGCCCCGTGCAAGGAGGGATGGGAGCTGGCTAGGGCTGACGACTTCCCCGGCAGGCCCGCCAACTCGTAGCGGCCGGAGCAGTTGGCTCGCTTCAGCTGGTGGGAGTCCCCGGTGTAGAGGTAAGAGGCCACGTCCATGGGCACCTCCTCGGCGAGTTTTTGCGCCAAGATGGTGCCGTCGGTGGAGCGGCTCCAGGGAGCCGAGGGGTCCGAGGCAGAGGCTCGAGCCGGCTGCTGGGCGTGCTGCTTCAGCCTCAGAGTTCTCTCTCGAGGGGAATCCAGCCGTCCCGGAGGGTCGCGGCCGGTGCTAACAGTTCCCAATCCCAGATGAGCAAGCAGGAGGCAGAAGAGTAAGGGATAAGCCATGACTCCCATCTGCTTCGCAGAGACGAAAGGAGGTAACGGGAGACACTTTTTAAAATTTGGTCGTCAATCTATCAACAGTAAGACTTTAACTAGGAGTCGGCCGCCTTCTTCAAATGGCACCCAGTCGAAAGGGACTTCAAAATAATGTTTCGGAATTGGCCCGGCTGGCTGAGCTACCGTCACAGGAAATCAAATCACCTGTGGCAACGCTGGCTGCACCCGCTCCATAATGGGTCGGCTCGGGATTACGCACCTCACAGCCTTGAGCCGAACAGGTTACATCCCCTCTCGCTCCCGGCGGCTATAGTTAGCCTGCTTACGTCTTTCTGCTCAGCAGCTTCCACCGCCGCGCTCATTGAGGTGTGTTCGAGAGCTGCTGCTGCTGCTGCTGCCGCGGCGGCCGCCAAAGACGCTGCTCCATCATCTCACCCGTGGCAGGTCGTTCCCGCCTCCCCGCTCTGGCTCCTCCTCGTTCGCTTCGCCCGGAGGCGCGGAGTGCGCGCACACAGATCCGCACCGCGAGCGCAGGACTGAGTCCCAAAGAGCGGAGATTCCTTTTAAGACGTGGTCTCTCTGGAGTTTATAGGACCAGGCAACTGGTTCATGGGAGCTCTCAGGTTTGGCCACGAACCGCACTCCTGTCTCCCCCTGCTCTGGAGGAAAGCCTGTTTAAAGAGGCAGCTTGGCCGCAACCAAACCCTTGAGGGGCGGCTTCAAGCCGTCTTCTTCCCTGTTTGGTCGGCTCCTCTGTCAATCAGCCGACTGCCATTTGTTGGGCTGGGGCGGGAGCTGTCCAGTGCTGAACCCGAGGCGACACGGAGGAGGCGCAGGAGGAGGCGGTGGCTCGGGATGCAGCAGCACGGAGTCCTTTCACCCACTCGCGTTCCCTGATGACTCGGAAACCTGAGGGGGTGGGGGTGGGGTGGGCGGGAGTGAAGGGAGAAGCAGAGCGTTTGTGGCTCAGAGCGAAGGAAACTTGGACGTACTGAGGAGGAGGGTGTTGGCGTCTTGCATGCTTAGCTAAATCAGCCTTTTCTTTTGCCTGGAAAAGAGGGAGAAAGGAGTTTTCATTCCTGACTTAAATCGAAGGGGGGGGGGCTACGTAGGATGGAGACGTGTCCTCCCGAGCATCTGCTCATTTTAGGCAAATTATCAAATCCTCCTCCTTATTGTCGGTTAAAGAAATGATTAAAAGCTACTTGCAAGGTCTTAGCTATGAGGGAGTAATGGAGACATCTACCGGCTGAGCTTCGAGAAAAAAAAAAAATGCTATATTTAAGGAACCTTTGCCTGAAAGGGGGCCAGGACAGAGGGGATGTGAAAGTGTATGCAAGTGAATATGTGAAAGGAGAGACATGTGCCAGAGGTGGGACTCAGATGTGAGAGAATGAGAATGGTTGAGTCTGTGTTGACTGAAGACGGAAGTCATTCTGACTGGGAGTTTTTAGAGTTAATAGATATGAGAACCAAAACATCGAGTTAACTACAGGTTGGGATACCCCAGCAAAAGAAATAAGAGATGCAGAATAATATTATGTATAATAATAATAAGCTGAATAATATGTGGAACCCCCCCCATTACCGGGAAATCCCTCAACAGAGTCTAATTATTTTATTTGAAATTTTAAGGATGTCTTCTGATATTCAGAAAATACTAATTACTACTGGATATGTAGTGTTTTATGGATCTCGACTTCCCATAGGCATCTCTGTTTTCAAATTCCCCAAGAAAGACAAATGATCCCAAATTTACTTCAGTTCCTAACCAATAAAAATGGCAATAATGGCATTCTGGGATCGCACTGCTTAGATTTACTTTATCATTTCATTTCATCCTCCCTATTGAGAAAATACCTGAGCACTGAAATGTAAGTTCCAAAGAAAAAAAGAGGTTGTCTATATTGGTCACTGTAAGGGCGCCTGGGGTGGCTCAGTCACTAAGCATCTGCCTTCGACACAGGTCATGATCCCAGGGTCCTGGGATCAAGCCCCCGCATCAGGCTCCCTGCTCAGCGGGAAGCCTGCTTCTCCCTCTCCCACTCCCCAGCTTGTGTTCTCTCTCTCGCTGTCTCTTTGTCAAATAAATAAATATCATCTATATTGGTCACGGTAGTATCCTGAGCACTTAGAACTCACAGAACTGCCTAGTACATAGTAGTTTCTCACTAAATATTTGATAAATTAATGAATGAACCAGAAGATCGTAATGATGAAGCTAATTATTTCTAAATCCATGTGCTTACCTAAGAAGAAAAGTTTGCCTAATAGGTCAATGACGAGGACTTTTAGAATGAGACCGAGTAACAAGTTTTCCAAACTATAGCACATGATCGCTAAGTGAAATTGTATACTTATGCAAAGAATGCTTACTAGATTTATACTTATTTACAAGTAGATTTCATGTTCATATCCGACTTCTGTTTAAAATTTGCTTTGCAGTGTATACTCCTTTGCTAAATAAATGCCACCCTGGTTTAATGCTCTACTGTAGCACACGTGGCAGTATTAACAGGAGTTTCTATTTGCTTAATTTATCAGAGTATATAATAAGATCTTCAATCTATATAACAAGCTAAGGATTGAAATGTAATTTCCTAATTAATTGATATTCTTAGAAAACATAAAATTTATTAACAGTTCTTTAAAATTGTCCAGTATGGGATTTTTTTTTAAAAAAGGGATATAATCTTATTAGTATGCCCCTCTATAAGTAATTCAATGACTGAACATAATAAAAGATTTGGGTTCTGGTACCAGCATTCTCCTAAACAAGATTTATGATCACTGGCAGACATTTAAAGTTTCCAAGTCTTAGGACACAAATTGGTCTTCATGACGTAACACTGAAGGAATACTGAATGGTACCTAAGCCACTCTCCAGAGGTACCAGCCCTCCCCTAGCTAATATCTATCAAGGGAAGAGCACACTACGAGAGGCTTTTGGAATTTTAGCATTCCCTTCAGTGGCTCACCCTCAGTCTATACTGTCAAATAACTGAGGTAGACTAGTTGGGTCTAGAACAATGCCAAAAATAGAAATATAATGTGAGCTACAAATGTGATTCATACATATAATCTTAAATGTTCCAATAGCACATTTAAAAAGTAAAAAAAAAGTAAAATTAATTTTAATAATGTATTTTATTTGACCCAATATATCCAAAATAATATTTCAATAAGTAAATAATTTAACAATTATTAGTGAGATATTTTACATTTTTATACAAAATATTCAAAATCCAATGTATATTTTACACCTACAACACGGCATTTCCCACTAGCGACATCTCCAGTGTGACCAGAGGCTACCATAGAATACAGGCTCAATCAAGAAGATAGCACATTGTGGTCTTGAATGTTCTAGAAACCTAAGTACACACAAGATTGAGATAAGGAGTCCTGGTCCATTTAATAGGTCTGGAGTCAAGGTAGCTGAGTAGTAGACGACACTTTGTCAATGTCAGCATCCATCAATGAAGGAAAATCCAAAAGAGGTTTTCATAAGAGACCAAGATTTAACACATCCTCATACACCTCTAAACAAATTACAAGATTCCACACCAACTCACAAAGACATATTCATTCAACAGATGCTGATTGAGGTTCTACTCCATATAGGGCATTAGGGTTGCTATCGGGGCAAACTAAACACATCTTCGGCGCAATAGACACATGGAGCTTACAATCAACTGTGTAGAGACAGACATAATAAAAAGAGAAAACAAACTTTAAAAATTACATATAGTGGTAAGTGCTGTGAAGAAATAAACACTGTAATGGTGAGTGCTGTGAAGTGTGTAAACCTGGCGATTCACAGACCTGTACCCCTGGGGAAAAAAATATATTATATGTTTATAAAAAATAAAATTAAAAAAAAATTTTTCACAAGTGGAAAGTAAATGGATATATTTATCCATTTAATAAATTTAAATTTAATTTAGTTTAATAAAATAATATAGTTTAATAAATAAATTTAAATTTAATTTAGTTTAATAAAATAAAATAATAATAAAAATAAAGTTTAATTAATGTGGAAAAAAAAAAGAAATAAACACTGTAGAGATCTGAAGGGGCACATGCACCCGAATGTTTATAGCAGCAATGTCCACAATAGCCAAACTATGGAAAGAACCTAGAAGTCCATCAACAGATGAATGGATAAAGAAGACGTGGTATATACATACAATGGAATACTATGCAGCCATCAAAAGAAATGAAATCTTTCCATTTGCAACAATGTGGATGGAACTAGAGGGTATTATGGTGAGCAAAATAAGTCAATCAGAGAAAGACAATTATCATATGATCTCCCTGATATGAAGAATTTGAGAGGCAATGTGGAGGGTTTGGGGGGTAGGGAAGGAAAAAATAAAACAAGATGGTATCGGGAGGGAGACAAACCATAAGAGACTCTTAATCTCACAAAACAAACTGAGGGTTGCCGGGGGGAGGGGCGTAGGGCGAGGGTGGTTGGGTTATGGACATTGGGGAGGGTATGTGCTATGGTGAGTGCTGTGAAGTGTGTAAACCTGGCGATTCACAGACCTGTACCCCTGGGGCTAATAATACATTATATGTTAATAAAAATAAAATTTTTTAAAAAAATAAACACTGTAGAGTGATAAAAACTGCAGTGTATGGAGACAGGAACTTTCTTATATAAAGAGATAAAGAAAAGAAAGACTTGGGGCGCCTGGGTGGCTCAGTGGGTTAAAGCCTCTGCTTTCGGCTCAGGTCGTGATCCCAGCGTCCTGGGATCGAGCCCCGCATCGGGCTCTCTGCTCAGCGGGGAGCCTGCTTCCCGCCCCCCCTGTCTACCTATGATCTCTCTCTGTCAAATAAATAAATAAAATCTTAAAAAAAAAAAAGAAAAGAAAGACTTCTATGAAAAGGTAACAATTGAGCTGAGACTTCAAGAATGAGGAACCAGGTGGTAGATAGTAATGAACTAGCTAAAGACAAGATGGAAAGAAACTTAGTTAGAGGGAGTAATATATGAGTCCACTAAGACTACAAATATTCCATTCTTAA